GTTAAAAAGCACATAAAAGATCTCTTAAGAGATTTTAACAAAAAACCAAACTTTTTAGAAAAAAACCAGGGACTAACTTTGAATGTAAAAATGGATTCATTAACCATTGGTAAGTATGGGAAAATTGTTGTTTACTCCAGGAAAATTCATTTTTTGGCCGAAACGAAGAGTTATTATTGCTTTAACCTGTCTGAGATATTTACAATACACATTTTAGGAAAGCGTCCGTTCTGCAATCAGCTTGGTGATGACGTACACTACAGAATGGATAGAATAGCTGAAGAAACATCCTTTGATGTCAACCGCTGTCATTCCATCGAAGAAAGAACTGTTGAGATCTACGATATCGTAGATTTTACACAAATCAGAAGATAAATGTTCGTTGTGTAAAGAGTGACAATGAAGGTTACGTAACTAAACACATTATCTGTGTACAGAACAGTGTGCTAGTCATAATGAATGAAAATTGGTTTCTGAGTTGTTTACGTCTACAAAAAGGCATCTGAGAAAGAAAGGATAGCAAAGGGATTGTACATCTGTACAGTAATTGATGCACATGTGCAAATGGTTCGATAAATTAACGTACTTTGTAAAATGAAGTAGTCAATGAGCTGATACACTGTATTTCACTGAGATGAGATAAAAGAAAAATCCATGTACTTATTGTTATAAAAAAGGATGTTCGTCAGTGCGTCTTGCTTTCGTGACAATTTCATAAATATATAATGTAATAAAATTTTGTAAAAGAAAATTTCACGTGAAGAAATGAGAAAATTGGCAAAAGTCGTAATAATTTAGTGATCAATAAACCCACTATTATTATTATCATTGATATACCTACGTGTTTTTTGTTAAATTAAAACTAGAAAATGCATGCAGTTTCAACAAAAACATGAAAACATTGGAAAACTATGCACAAGACAATGGGCGCTTAAAATTTGCTTTCATTCTCCTGCAATTTTTCAAATATCTATTTCTTTGTCCGTTTATTGGCATAATTAACTCATTTGGTCCACACATGTGACATGAATCCATATCTACATGATGTTGTAAGCACTCTCACATTTGAAAATATCACACCATAAGTGTGAGCTGGTCGAAAGTAAACCTGTCACAGTACGACGTCATCATAAGAATTGGCATTATTGACATTGTTGGACGATACCGCCACACGATTAGATACAATGTATATAAGGGCAATAATCTAGTTTATTACGTGTAAAGTATTATAAAGTGATTCACGCCTTTATCACAATGGATGATAACCTTGTAACATCCACAAGATAATATTCACCCGTATGACCGTTATATAACTAAACTAATAAGGGTGCATTCCCAGAGATTTAGATCGATCCAGAGATTTAGATTTAGATCGACCTTACTCCCTGGGGTTTCACGCTAAATTGCAATCAGCCGAGCGGGCACCATAGTTAATTACCCCCTTACAGCTTTTAGTAGGCGGGACAGACGCTTAAGCCGGCTAAGCTGACAGTAATCTAGTGAGACTCCCCACAGGGAGAGACCGATCTAAAATCTATGGAAATGGGGTCTAACCAGTTTTAGCCCAGTATGAGGTGTATTGAAAGGTACAAAATAGTGTCAAAGTAAATCTTAAATATGTCATGTTTTAAATCATGTTATTCTTTTAGAACGCTACAATGTTTTTAAAAATTTCAACAATGGAAATACAGAGATGGAGTCTTGCATTCTTTAAAGGGAAAATTCACTCTGAAACAAACAATGGAGCTGTTGTCAGCGAAGAGGATAACAATTATCGTTGGCAGATTTCCGGAACAGTGAACTAATGGGGGTCTATTGGTGTCCCAGATCTTGAAAATCATGTGTCAATTTACAGGTCAAGGCATTTATTTGCACAGAAAGCTTTGGAATTAACTGACTTGCTTTTTTGATCAAATATTGTTTGCAGTAAAACCATTTCTTTCATTTGAGTGTTTTTCAGATGATGTGCTGGGATTAAATTAATTGGTATTTTGGAAGAAATGCATATCTGTTTTATTATCTTCCTGTTTGTACTGCTCGTACTAGGCGTTGAAGGTGAGTATATTGTTTATATGACAGACCTTGGTTCATGTGATGCTGTGGATGGTTTAAGGCATGTGTAGAACTGTATTAGAACGGTATTACTATTGTTAAAACATTGAACGAAGGTTTTTTCTGTGAGGGACTTTGACCTACACGGTGAGGAAAATAAACACAGCATTAGGGGAAATAAATAAGAGACCATAAGGTATTTTTATTATTTTTCTTAACAAAGATACGCATTTTGAAATCAATCAATATCTGAGTAAATTCATATTATTAACTTTTATTGCATTTATCATTTATATATTAAATTATGACGATTGTATATAGATTTTCGTTCTGTCGCTCTTCTGTTGCCAGGTGATCCACGCTGTAGTCATCCAGACTCATTGGCTGTCGGACAGAAATGTCTTCTACTTATGAATCACCGACAAACCTGGCAAGAGGCTAGCCATTACTGCAAGAATCGGGGAGGTGACTTGGTTACCATAGAAAACAGAGAAATGGATCAAAGTCTCAGAAATGTTCTTAAGAACTATGCACAGGACTTCTGGATTGGTGCATATTCAAAGAAGAGATGGTTTTGGGCAGACAGTAAGTAGATAATTGTATAAGAACCTTCCTGAGAATTGAATGCGCCCCTACAGGTACCATCACGTATTTTATGGAAAACGTCGGTTTTCAGTAAAATAATTGTACAGCTTATAACAGTCCCTTTTATTTTATTTCAAATAAATTAAATGGTTTCCAGAATTGTAAGTACTGCATAGTGGTGCGTGTAGAACAAGGCTGAAATCAAAATTGCACGAATGAGGTTCAAATTATAAATATGACACACACCTTCATGTATATAACAATAACTGTTTACTCTATTAGAGCCGTAATATCTACAAAAATGTATTATAAATTAACGAGAACCGGTGTGACATGAATGGTAGTCCGCTAGGAACCGTAGTTTGCTTCCTATTACTTTTTATAAGTGACATTCGTCCAGTATACTAACCCCAATAATCCAACTAACCCTAACCTGTACTATTCATATGGGGACCCGGACCCATTCCTGTCACACTGGAAAATAGAGTGTATATCTTGTCTGTGAAAATATTTCATTCAAGGCGGCCAGGAGCTGCAGTGGACGTCCTGGGGACCAAACGAACCGAACAACAACGGTCACGTGGAGGACCGCGTGATGCTCTGGCGGCAATTTCGATACGATTGGAATGACGAAGAAGCAAACAAGCTCGGCGTTCACAGAGTACGAGAAGGACACTGGGAAAAGTCGTCTGCCGTTTGTGAATTTAGTAAGAATGAAGGGCCAGGACCTAAGAATTATAGAATCTGTGGCGACACTTTTGCTTGCAAAATCATACAAGATTAAGATTTAAAAGAGGATCAATCGTATATTTGTGGACCTGCCTGATATGTAATGACGCTGAATTTCGGGTCTCAATTCTAAGTTATGAAATTTGTCTTTTAGATAAATGACCTAGTAAAATTTTTCTTTTTTTTTGTCCTTTTAAGCCAATGTTGACAAATGCCCGGATACAACAAAGTGTAGCTACGGTCACCATTTCAATGGTTCCTGCTACTGTTTGGAACTTCGACCTTATTCATCAAGAAAGCACGGGTTTACCTGGGCCATGGCCAGGACGTTCTGTACTTCGAGAGGGGCTCGTCTTGCCCACGTTGAAAACAAAGCTACGATGGAATTCCTGAGGTCTGTTCTGCTGAATGTGGAGAATGTGCATAAAAGGAAGGACTATGGCAACAACTACTGGATAGGAGCCATGTGGAACAAGACAGAGTCATACAGCTGGTCCTGGGATAATGGTGAGTGACAGGGGCTGATGATTTTGCCTTGGGTTTATTTATGCTGAAGAGCTTGTTTTGTATTATTCTGGACTATTGCACAGTGTACTAACTGCATATTAGAAACTTTTTTTATACCTTTCTGGCTTTATTTTGTCACTTGAACATTACGTACAAATATTTTTGAATGTTAAAGCTTAAGGGCATAATCTTCCCGTTCCTAACAACCAATGAGAAGAAAATTTCATAAGGTGATTGTGTTGTCAGATAGTGTTACTTCAGGATAAATGAAATAAGGCTCTTTTACACTGGACGGCGTCCTTTCTGCGTCCGTAGTACTGCCCAGTTTAAGAGTAAAAAATAATCTTTACGTGCCGACAACTGGCCAATCATTGAGCATTCATTCTGCAGCCAAAGCGATGCTTGTGCCTCCTTTGTACGACCACAGCGATGCTAGTTTCACGATCGCACAAAGGACGCAGCAAGGACGCAGTTCAGTGTAAAGGGGGGGGGGGGGGGTTAGTGAAGCCTCAAAATCACGATTATACATGTGACATTTTAACCAATTACTGTCTCTTACCATTATATTGTTCACTAAAGAAAAAAAATAAACATGTACACTTAATTGCAAATAACTCCAGTTGATTTTTACTTAAAATCATATATGGTTTAGCTTAAATATGAATTTTTACTTTCAGGAAACCGGGTTGCGTACACAAACTGGGACCCAGCGTCTTTTAATAAAGCGGACGCTTTCAAAGCCTGCAAACTGTCCTGGAACCACGATTTTCGATGGGTAGCTGAGAACGCTGAACTTAAACGTCCGTATATTTGTCAGTTTGGTAAGGAGAACTCATCACACACTCCATATTTTGTTAAGGTCTTTATGTCTGTACGGGCAGTGAAATGATACACTACCATTTCTGCAATTCAACATCAGCCTATAATAATAATAACACAATGCATTTTCGTGACATTTATCTGAGCGCGGAAAACATCTGAATAGTATTCATTAATTTAGTTCAAATCTTAAAACATTATTTTCTTAAAATTTATCTTTGCAAACAACCAGCCATATTTGGGAAGAAAAACGACAGTATGAGCATCCAGTGCTTTTACAATCCAAAATAATATATTGTTTATCGCCACAGCTCCAATACCACCACCTACCACCACCCCTGTACCCATCACAACAACGTTACCACAAGAGAAATCCACAGCTGAAGTCGTAACAACAGTTACCGAGACAACGGCTTCGACGACAATGATTGTCGAGACAACGGATGCCACGACAACGGTTGCCGCGACAACAGCTGCCACGACAATGGTAACCGAGACAACCGTTGCCACGACAACGGTTGCAACAACGACCATGTCCACGACAACGCGTGCCACTACACATGAAAATAAGTTGCTGACAACTACATCGGTTGGGGGTGACATTAAGGGTACGAGTGATAAAACAAAAATCACAACCAGTAAAATACAAACCACAACCACAGAGAAAATAACCGTGAATGTGCAAACGACTCCAAAACCCAAGAACTATCCTTCATTTATCGGCACCACCGACACTTGGGAGATGACAACGGTCAACGGTGGAACAACTTCTGTCGAATCAAGTTTTTCCTCACGTCTGCACCAACGTGATAGTGCTACAACAGGTAATGAGAAATCTAAGCAATTCTTGCAGCAAAAGCAGATACCGATAATACAATATTACGACTGCACCCTGTCTTTAATAATGCTCATCAATTTAAAATATTACTTTTTGATTTCTTATGGCTTGTTGAAATTGTGAAAGTCCTGCGAGGCTTTAGTTTCCAGCTAATAAGGGCATTTTTGATGTGTACCTGTCTCGGAGTTTTTTGGCTAAAATGAAAATTAAATTTTATTTGTTT